ATGGGTTGGATCTGATTTGATAGTACACAACAACAATGTCCCATTGGATGAGTTATGGATGACATTAAGTATATCATCCATGAAGAGAGCAAAAGATCACAAAAAAGAGGAGAAAGGGGGGGAAAACCCAAAATGGATATCGGAAGAGACCCTAAAAATGGCACTAGAATGCTGAGAAGCCCCAACGAAAGGAAGAGATGCTGAATTTAAAGAGCTGAACAGAAGACCACATGATCAACAATGCTAAATTCATAGAAGACCACCAGACATTTACATTTACTCCCACGCTCACATACTTCATGCATATTGCTAGAAGGGGCTATTCCTTGGAGAGGGACATGATGTTTGGAAGGGTATAGGATCAGCAAAGGAGAGGAAGACCGTCAACCAGGTGGATTGACACAGTGACTGCCACAATGGGCTCTAGTGTGTCAGAGAGTGTGAAGATGACACAGGATAGAACAGGGTTCTGATCTGCTGGTCTCATAGGGTCGCTATGAGTCATACTGGACTCAACAACCCCTAACAAACAACATGGCCAGAAATGGCCCTAACAAAGTATCAGAGCAGATCTCTCTGCCTTTCTCCTGCCAATGGCTGGATTCCTTTAGGTTGGCAGCTGAGTGCTTAAGTGTTGTGCCACCAAGGCTCTTTTTTTTTTTTTTTTCTCCACCAAGGCTCTTTTAAAGTGCTTCAATAAGTAAGTACTTGGCTAAATGTAACAAAATATACTAAAGTTTTAGTTTGAAAATATGAAATTGAAAATCTTGGCAATTCTTGATGTTGATGTTTGGGAATGGCTAGCTTTAAATCATTCCTTTCAATTTCCACCATTTCTCTTTTTTTAAGCTAATCAATGGCTTTTTGAGCTGCTGGGCCTCCAGTAGGGTATGTGACCTACATGATCGCTAGACATTCAGGTGGATGATACAATGTTTTTTTTTTGGGTTTTTTTGCTTTACTAACCAAAAGGTTATTATTACAATTCCATTGAGAGGTGCCAGGGAAGAAGGGCCTGATCATTAGATTGTTACTTGAAAATCTCATGGGGGAAAGAAAACCTCAAGCCCAAGATGTGTGAATTGAACCAGTGACTGTATCAAAGGGCTCAAGTATACCAGAAGTGATGAAGATGGCACAGGATGATAGAGCAAGGTTCATATCTGTGGTTCATAGGGTTGCTGTGAGTTGAAGTCAACTCAATCACAATAACAACATGGAGAGTTCTACTCTGATACATGAGGAACCTGTAAGTTTATTGGTTTTTTCCACTTTCACAATGAAAGACTAAGGTGCAAAGACTGAGTCTTTGCAATTGCTTGCTATGCATCAGAGAGCTGGACAATGACTAGTGATAATAGAAAGAATTAATGCCTTTGAGCTGTGGTGTTGGAGAAGTGTTGAATATACCATGGACTTCCAGAAGAACAAACAGGTTCGTTCGAGAGAGGGTGAAGCTAGGCTGCTCCTTGGTGGCAAGGATTCTAAGGCTTCATCTGACATACTTCAGGCATGTTGCAAGGAGGGACTGGTCCTTGGAGAGGGACATAATGCTTGGAGGGGTAGAGGGATGGGGAAAGAGAGGGAGACCATCAATGAAATGGATTGATACAGTTACTGGGATAATTAGGGTAGGTGTGTCAGAGACTGTTAAATTGGCCCAAGACAGAGCAGGTTTCAGGGCTGTTGATAGGGTCGCTATGAGTCGTAAGCGACTCGAAGGCACATAACAAAAAGCAAAACAATAGAAGCACCTTTAACCTTCTGTGAATTAGTTTGGGCCACCCAGTTGGTGATTTTTTAAAGCAGAAACAGGGCTAAATCTGACTTATAAACTAAAAAGCTCATTGCTTTGTAGTCAGAACCAACTCATAGCCAACCCTCCATTGGGTTTCCCAGGCTGCTAGAGAGAGAGATCCAATAAAACGATGTTGAACTGACCTAAAGGATTTCAATCTTGAAGTACAACACCGTGAGTGACAGGATTATATCCATACGCTTACAAGGAAGCCCAGTGAATACCACTATCATTCAGATATATGCACCAACAACCAGAGCCAAAGAAGAAGAAATAGATGATTTCTACCAACTTT